GGCATCATATTTATAATTGGTGATGATTTTTAATATTTAAAAATCATTTTTAAAAAGCAATTGCAGAAATCATTAATAATTTATTAAAATTATTAATAAATATAGAAATTACGCACTTCATTGTTGCACTTTTTCTAAGTTTGGTAATAATACCTTTCCTTCTAGATATCAGATTTTGAAATCAATCCCAAAAATCAAATGCCTCATTAAAACTATGAATATTTACAATTTTAATGGGTTATTTATCTCTACTATGGTTCTATCCACATTTATCCTTATTTTTGAGGCTGATTTAAAGTAAAAAATAAAAAAAGTAAAAAAATAAAGTCTTATGAGAGAACCCCAAATTAGTTGGTCTTTGATTTTGTTTGGTCTTCAATGATCAACATTAGGATGTAATCCACATAACATACATAAATATAAAACCATATGCATCATATGCGAGATTCTACAATAATGATTCTAGCAATCGCAATTTTTCTTAATCAGAATTTCTCATTCCGGATTGTGTGAATTCTCGAGGAAATGCCAGAATGCCTCCATTATATTCTGCAGAAAAAAATAAAATAAAATTGATTATCGATTATCTAAAAATATCACAAAAACAATCTGAATACAATTTTTTCCAAAAAATTTAATGATTAAAAAGTTTGTGCAGTTCATAAGAAATGTGGCGACCAGTGTTTTTTCGATATATAATAGTTTCTCTAGTTCATTCACGAACTAAATGAATCTTTTTTCCTTAAGAAAATTATTCTGATCTCAATGTTTTCTATTTCTAAATTTTTTTTTAAATTTGTGAATCACATATGCGTTGCAGAATAAAAGATGCCGCTTTTTAATGAAAATAGAACGCCCATTATTTAGTTTCGTAATCTTCGTTAGTATGAATTTCCTCTATCAATAATTTGCAATAGAGGGATTGCAATAGAGGAATATTAAATCATATTATAGAGCTGCTGTCATCAATAACTTCTCAATGAAGAATGGATCGTTGATCTCGGATATATGTTCCAACATCTCATATATTCCATACCATATTCAAAGTTCAAGAATCGTTTTTCCTAATAAATTTTTTTTAATATTTTTTTTCTTTTATTAAAAATAACTCGATTTAGCTATTTGAACAAAAGGTAAACATACACGATTGCCCGTTTGAGGGGCATGTGCATTTATGAAATGTTCGACAGATGGCAGGCAAAAGCGTGTTTGATTAAGAAATTTCATCTCTTAAAATCGACAGAACTCGACTTTTAATGGCCCAAGTTATATTATTAAATCGAGTAGAGATTTGTAAAGAGAGAATTGGAAAAGGAGATTAAACAGCATTCATTCGAAAATAATATTTTCTATCGTCTTACTGAGAATACATGGATTTCAAAATTGAAATTATGGAAATGTTGAAAATTTAAATTTAAATTTAAATAATTTTTATATCGATGAATATTATGAAAGAAAGCGAACAATAATCGCGGTAAATTCGTTTGTTTGCATGTTTCATTCGGAACGGTCATCACGTGTTTACAATAAATTTCACCGATATCAGTTAAAAGTATAAAGTATAATATAATCGCGAAATTTTTAATTTAATTAAATTTTTAATCATTAGATTTTAATTTCTTTTTTTCGATCGATTTTGATTGTTAAGTATGTTCTAAGTAAATTCTCTACATTAATCCATGCAATTATGAGTATCAGGGATTGATCGAATTTTTATTAATATGTTTGTAATAAAAATATTTGCAATGAATCCGCGGATATATTGACAAGATTATTCGATCAGCTGTCTTGAACATTGATTTTTCGAAGAGAGAAATCGATAATTTGAAAAATCCTTTTAAAACGTAGCAAGGTGTAATGCTGCTTGCATAAAAATAGATTTAAATTATGATACAATGGTTCTGTCTTAAACGATGTCGAATTGTTACGAGACTTTTTGTCGAAATACTGAATACTTGTGTAAATAATGATGTGAAAAATATTATGATCCACAAAACATTAGAGGTCGTCGCGTGAGAGGTAATCGATCGAAAAAACGAAGTCGCGATTTTATGTAGATTTTGGTTTTTAAAGTATAAGGTATATACGAGACATTAGAACATTATTTACTTCTTCCAAAATTGAATTCTATAATAATCCAAAGAAGAATTGTAAAGTTAGATATGTATTTGATGAAAATAGTGAAAATTTTGAAAAATTTTAAGCTTTTTTATTCTCCAATATGGAGATTTAATCTCTAATATTCAATAAATTAGAAACAATAATTTCTAATTTAAATAAATAATCATATTTTGTCGATTTAATATATTATCTATAAAAAGAATTATGTAAAATACTAAATAGGCAAAAAAGTATTCAATTTATATTAAGTACAAGAATATTGTCTTAAAATAATTTCAATCATCGCATTCCACAAAATATGAAATAATTTTACAAAATGAACACAATGAAACTTAAAATATGTCGAAATAATCTAAATCATTAATTTAAATTAAATCTATGATACTTACCTATTGAATTTATATTATTATAGATAAAAATTTAACTGCTGGATAATCACACTTTGATATACATATTTTGATACTACATATACTATTTTATAACAAATAATCAAATAAAAAATTTATCTTAATATTATTTTAATTAGCTTGATTAAGTTAGTATCACTTTTGAACTTTTTTTTTTATTTTATTTAATTCTAAATTATTGTGCGCTGTTCGAGCATTTATAGTCGTCGATTACAACGGTATCATCATCGACAACCAATCAATGCTCATTCCGGACCTGCGCACGCATCAATTAGATTAACAGGGACGTTCAACTTCAGAACGTGCCCTGTTCTTTTCTTTGGCGAATTCAGAACAATTAATGATGATATTTATTATAAAATATTTAAAAAAAAGAAATTAATGTGATTAATTTAAAAATACATTTTTTTACGTTATATATTTGATAATTATTATATAATAATTATAAATGAAAATATACGTAAATAAGATTATATATTTATAAAAAATTAATCTAAGATTACATGTTATATGATACAAAATAACGCGTTTATATTATGCCATTTTCAACAAATAACTTTTGTACATATACTTTTTTAATTTTTAAAAGATATTATTCGTTCAATTAGAATTTGGTATAGATTTTACACATAATTTAATTCTATTTTAATCAGAATAGTCTGAATCTATGTTGAAGTCTAGAATCATTTGATTCTACTTTTCTCTTATATTAATTTTAAAACTTTCGAATTTGTTGTTTTTACTTTTGAATGCGTACATTAATAATAGGAGAATCTGATGTTATAAAAAATCTATTTATCAAATCTGTATTCTAAAATCTATGTAAATCTATATTTCTCCTTGTTTTCCGTGTAAGCAATTCACGGTAACATATATGCTTGTTTCTAGTCTCTTGAGCTTTTTCAAATAATTGTTCGATAAATATAATAATACAATTTATAATTTTATTTAAAGATCTTTATATATTTACACAGCTTTCGGATACTAATATATATACTTTTTATATATTTATAATATATATATTTTTTAAAATATATCATATATTTTTTTTCGTAATAATATAGAATTATATTTAAACTAAAAATATTAATTATTCACACAAATAATATAATCGTGTTGATTATTAATCGAACCAACTTGTAAAATTTAGATATTTGGTTTAACGATATTATTTTCCTTTAATACAACACAGTTAATTCAATTTTTTAATTTTGCAAAACGATCCGGCACTCAAGCATCGAAATATTGCTATCAATCTTGATTATATAGTCATCGATAGCAAATTAATATTTGAATTGATCGACGCATGCGCATTACATTTCAAATTAATAATTGTTCACATTACAGTGTATTTCTTTTTTAATCTTTCAGCGTAATTCTCTTTTAATAGATAAATTCGAAACAAAGAGGTAAATATTTTTGATTTTTTTTTCTTTAACGAATAATTATCTAATTTGAGAATTATTTAAAAAAATCTTTAGAATTATATAAAAAAAAAAAATAATTTCATCGAATAATCTTAATATTTTAATATCTGAATAACAAAAAAGCAATGGTGAAAAAATGCAAAATTATTATACAATATAATAGATATTTAAATATTATCGTATTTTTCATATATGAAATGAAAAATGAACTAAATATAAATACTAAATATAATAAATTAAATACAGTATAAATAAATAATTGAATATATAGAAAATAAAACTTACGTGTTATTTTCATCATGTTCTCGTCTCATGAATGAAAATAACTCGTAATATATCTCATCTTAGTAAAAAAAAGATTAATTATAAACATTGTAATCGTTATAAATTGAACTTCATGAATTTTATTAAATGTTCTATTATATTAAAAACGAAATATAAAGATTTAAATATATAAAAAAATACTTTAAATACTCTCTCTTTGCAGTTTTAATTAAACTTTTTCAACTGATAGACAGAAAAACAAAATATTCTAATAAATATCTAATTATAATAAAACAAACATTCAATTTTGAGATAATATGTTCTAAACTTCATTGTGTTTACTGAAATACATGCTCTTGAATTTAGTTATTTATCGTTATAATCGCAATTCAGAGCGCATGGTGCACGTATTTAAAGCACTCATGTTGATAGCATATGATTTATAAGTAAGCCTAAAAAAATAATAAACAATCATGTGCTATGAAATTTTCAAATTTTATATAGTTATGTTATATTGATATGTAAAACTAATATATTATTACATAACTGCATTATATAGCTGCATATTTTTTATATATGTATGAATAATTATTTATAATTATTTTATTTTTATAGAGATATTCAAAAGTTTAAGAAGAAATTGATATAAACATAGATGTATGATTAAGATCAAGATTATTTTTATTGATTATTTTGATAGTAGTGATGATAATTCCGATTTTTAATAAATCAGATACAAATATAAATATAAATAATAATTAAGTTCAAATTCATTGTTTAGGCTGGACATTGAGATACATACAGTCAAAATCACAATTAATGCAATCAAAGGACAATTTTTTGAATAGTTTTGTAATTTCTGAAGAAATTCAACCATTTCCAGATAATCAAGCATCTAAGGTCAAAACTGTTCTAATCATGGCTTGGAATTATCATTGAATTTAATTAATTACCAGAAATGCAAATACTAAGTATTGAATTAATTCTTACATGAGAATCGTATGATAAATCGACATTTAGAGGCATTGATAACCAAACTGGTATATTCGAAATTGTTATTGATTTTAATTATTTTAATTATATAATAGACATGGCAATTGAAACTGTTGCTCTCAAATAACGAATGATGGAGACGAAAAACCATTGATTTTTTTTTATCAAGGAAGTTGTTCGACATGCAAAATATCATGTATGATCGAGATCAAATAATCTTTAAATTCACAATCGAAGAATACCAACTAATGGTACGTATTGATTACCAGAAGCTAATATTTATTTTTTAGCAAAAATTAGAGAAAGATAAACTCGTCACAAACTCGATTATATTGAGCAACTGACAATATGAAATATTGTGTACATTCAAGATTTTCGAATTACTGAAAAAGCAAGGTACATTATTCTCTCTATCACTAAAAGACTCAATTTTTCTCAAATGGCGAATTTTCTCACGAATATAAAAGAATATATGACATTATTTTAAGAGAAAAGAATATATAATATTATTGATAGAAGTTTGATCATGAAGATAATGCGATGTATTTTTCTCATATAGAAATTCGTTATAGAAGAATTAAATCATTTTTAATTGTAGAGAATATTATTTCTTTCACAATTCTGATTTTATGATAATTATGTTAATATTGATTAATATTATTGAATTCGCCGAAGAATAGGAAATTAACGAAGAATTACAACATATCTTGTACGAGAATTGAAAATGGAACTTCAATTTTTTGATTTGAAAAGCATTTGATAAAATAACATTTAATCCAAATCTAATTCTTATCTTATTTTTTGTTAATTTTTTCAGGAACAATAAGTGATAATGTCTGAAAGTTAATCAGACAATACATGTCAAGATTAAATTTATCGAAGGTGAATTTTTTATTAATGTGAATATGTAAATAATTATCAAAATGAAGTGAAATTATAAAATTACAGATATAGATTATATTTTTTTGAAGATAATTTCGAATTAAGTTTGAATAAAATTTAATTTAAAATTTATAGTTTAAAAAAATATAATTTAAATCTTAGGATTAGTTAGATTTCGAATTTTTTTTAATAAAAAGAAAATAAATACTTAAAGTTAATTTTTTTTTAATTTCTATTGTATTATTAAAAAGAAAGTATATCATTATTTGAAAAAGAATATTATGGTTATTAAAATCATATAATCGATAAAATATGAATTTTTCTAAATAATCTAATGATAATTACATGTGTCATAATGTATTAGCTTCTATTTCAAACATTTTACGTATTACAACATTAATTTCATTTTATGGTTAATTTTTCTTAAATAGTTATATATATAATTATATAACTTAAATAGTTATATATGTATCATACAAATTCCTTCAAATATTATTATCTGAAAGAAACATCTATTAATGTCAGAAAGAATCTTGATTAATCGCTGATTTTTGCTAATTCACTGTGTAATTATTACGCATTAAACATATTAAATTTATTAACGAATTAATCAAGAATTATTTCACTTTTATTGTATGTGTAAAAACATCTGAAAAAGAATATTATGCAATATTAAAGTCATATGTTAAGTAAATAAATTCTATTAAATAATCAATCTGATCTATGATATATCATTTCATGAAATATTAATTCTTATTTCTCTTCATATACGCTTAATATGTGTATAATATGTTATACTACTTTATCAATATTTATAAAATTCATTATGATTATTTAGATGTATATAGCTATATTTAAATTGTTAAAGATGTTATCTTTTATTTTTCTTCATATATATTTGATATGTTGTGCGTAGGCTTTTGTATAAATATCCAGTATAAAAAAATCTACAAAATTTTTTTTATAATTAGATACATATATAGTGGCCAATTATATATTTTTTTCTATATTTAAACTTTTTCAGTAATTCGTAAGTGTTATCAATATGTATATATTATTAATATAGTATTTCATTGAATGTTATATTCTGAAGGAACATTGTGAGAAAGAATTGATTAAGATTTATCGTTGATTTCTATTTAAAAACACGATATTAATTCACAATAGGTTTAAATTATTATTAAAAACATGATAATTCATCATGTGGGTCTAAATAGTTGCTAAGAATATATCGATAATCAATTCTAAACTTGAATAATTATCATGAAATTAATCAAGTTTAGAATAGAAAAAATATTTTTCCATTTCTCTTATAATATTATTTAAAAAGATGTATAATATTATTTAAGAAGACAATTATTACAGAAATATTATGCAATCATTACAATTCATTGTTACATTTGATCAAAATTCATTATCACAATTCATCATCAATTATTTTTAGCGAAATATGAATTCTGCCAAATAACTACTAGGTAACTGGAATTATTTTTTTCTTTTCTTTCATACACATTCGATATGTTGCTTATATATTCCTGTATCAGTATCTACAAAATTCATTTGATAGCTAATCATTAAATTAAGATTTTGTAATTTTTCATATTTAAATAATTATAGATATTAATATCATAATATTTCAGTATATATCTAATATTCTGAATATTCTATTTCATTCTACTGATGTAAGAAAGAATCGCTGGCGATTCAAAATAATTCACCATGTAATTTTGCATAATTATAAAACACAATGTTGATTCTTCACATTGTGAATTTAAATGATTGCTAAAGATACAATACTATAAAGATTAGCACTGATTATTAAATTTAATACTGGAATTCAACATAGATTGCGTCAAAGATGACTGCTAACATTTTTTGTCGTTGCAATATCTGTCTTTGTTTTTTTTTTTTTTTTAATTAATAGGAAAACAAAAATATAAATAATTGCAGTAATAAAAATCACTCTGCATTTAACTTTAATTAATGATTTATAAAAACAATTTCAATATATCGATGGATATATATATATGGATTTGAATATTCTGCTGTCGTTTATTTATTAGACGTGCAAATTAATTCATTATCATTATGTGCTGTGCTAATTAAAATTGATAGTTAATATATTGAATGCATTGCAAAACTTGAGATTGCATTAATGTAAAATCATTCCATAAATAGTTATATAATATTTAATATTAAATATTTAATCTTAAGGAATAAGATAATAATTTTGTAAAAATAACTATATATATGGAGAACTGAGAATCATAGCGTAAGTTCAATCGATTGGAATTGTAAAAGAAATTGGAATTGTATTATATAACCACAAATTTTTAAGTTATTTTTATACATTATGTCATTATATTAGTTACAAATTAAAACCAATCCAATACTGAAACCAAAAAACGTAAAAACATATGTAGAAAACTATTTTTTTCTTAAATCAATTTCTAAATATAACTTATGTCATTATTTTAATATGATATTTATAGATATAACTTTTGATTAAATTCTTATTAATGAATATTATAGTTATGTTACGTTGTTGTATGTATGTTTGTAATATTTTATTAATATATTTATTGCAATTCTTATTAATCAGATAATGAATTATTTATTAATGTCGAGCAATATTTCGATTTTACAATTTTTCATTGTAAAATGCATTTACAAATATAGATTAATTAATTAATTAATTTAAATTTTTAATTATTGAAATTAAAATGATTTAAATAAGTACTGTTCATGTTTATTTCCACAATATATCTATTTATAAAGATTCAAAATTATGAAAAACCGGAAAACCAATTTTCTAAAGTTTTCTCTACATTTAATTGTCATATTTTATTATAAAATATTAAATCGTTACATAAAACTTCTTGAAGAAATTTTTTAAATTTTCGATATAATAACACTTTATTTCTATTTTTAATTAAATTTCATAATTATTTTCATAATTGAATTCATTTTTACAATTTCCTCTATAATATAGTACCTTCTCATGAATAATATAATACATTTTATAAGTAATGGATGTGGATGATGTGTATTAAATAATGAATTTCATCTTCTTTAAATTTTTAAGTTTAAATTTTTAAAGTTTTTTTGATTTTTTTTCTTATTCTAATTTTTTGTCTATTTCTGCCTTTATAACAGCAAAAATTATTTATTATAATGGCATTGCATTTTAAGAATCCAATGTATTCTGTACTTTTCAAAGATGCTTTAAATATACCAATTCCTTGCATTGTGCAACTTAGCAATGGTACTATATAATATATATATTACATATTATATATTATATATTATATCTTCGCTAAACAAAAAACAACGATATTATGTATTATTTCTATTATTTATAATATCTTTTAATCCTATGAAAAGGCATAATTGATTTAAATCAGTGATGTCAATGCCGTCATTCAAACAAAGAAAAATATCTACAGTTTTAATGAAATTTTTAACTTGTTTATTAATTTTATTACATGCGATATCAAATAATTTATCACGACAATAATAATACCGTTCAAAATATTTCATTATAATCGTTTAGTTTTCGTCATTTTTTGAATTCATTATTTAAAAAATATTGTTTTGCTAATTTTTTTTGTAATTATTAATGCGATTAATATTATGAAGCTGTGATTTATCTTTTTATTAATTTTTATATTGTATTTTTAGGTGAGCAAATTCTAATCGATATTGAGCAGAATATTATATATCATATCATATAATTTTGCATGATGTGTGATATAATGACGATATAAACAGCACCCTTTTTATTTATACAAATTTTACATTGCAAAACAAACATAAAGTTCTCCACATTTAATAAATTATTGATCCACAATTCATATAACATTCCATATTTTGATTTTGGAATGAAAATCAGAAATTCTACTTTTTTTGTAATTTTTATATTACATTAAATTAACAATTTTTGATCGATTGTGTAAAATATATAAATATCAATTTTACATGATATATGATGTAATGACGACATAAACAATACCCTATATTTTTTGATTTTTCTTGCATATTTAAATGAGCAAATATTTCTGATTGATATTGTGCAAAACATTTACATCATATAATTTTGCATGACATATGGTATAATGAGGACATAAATAACATCTTTTTTTATGCAAGTTTTATATTACAAAAAAAATATATAAAAAATGTTTTAATTATTGAATTATCAATTATCCACAATTTATGTAACATTTCATATCCTGGTTTTAGAATGATAATGAGAAGTCCATTTCTTTTCATAATCTTTTTTATATATGTTATATATGTTTTATATATGATTCTTATGCTGCGTTTTTAAATTTATAACAACATTATGTATTACTTTGAATGATATATG